GCGAGAGTAAGTAGAGGTTCCACTATATAAGGTAACTGTGCAACTATATAATAAAAGGAAACTTTGATTTACTGGACTTGCAGTGGACCTGACATGCAGCAGGCCAAATTTCTGCTGTGAGGTATGTCACTGGCATCTTGATATCATCACACGAACAATGCCAATGATGTAACTGGCATTATTTATTACCATCACTAATTATTCTGGTCCCAACAAGAAGATCTGCCAGGAGCGAAACCCCCAAACACTTAAGAGATTCTTAAGATGCTGGCAGTGGGAACTTGCCTAGGTACTACTCACAGGTAACATGGCATTGAAGAGGTGAGTAATGAAGGTAGCTCCCTGATGAACAGCCTCCTCGGCTTGAGATAGATTGGCCACGGAGTGACCTAGAAAGAAATGGAGAGAACTCTACATAATGCTCCTTTGAGGCCTCTTCCGGTCTATTGAATCATCTAGTTTTTCAGACTTGGCCACCTTAAGATGTGTGGACTTCAACTTCCAGAATTCCCTAGCTAGCATGCCAGCACAGGAAAAGGTTAACAGGGACACGTGAACATGGAAGTTCAGACGAGCTTTTGTGAACAGCTGCCTAGTTCTACAGAAACTAGAACATGAAGCAAAGATTAGTTTTTTATTTCAATTTTGGTTTTCCCAAATTTGAAACAGCCATTACTCTGGATCCAGAGGGCCCACTTGTGGGGAAGGGGTTTAATGGCAGTCCACACGTCCTCAGATTATTCACTTTTTCCTGTTGGTTAGCTCATTGGGAAATGTGGTTTAAGAAAATATCAAGTTTCAGTTGAATATGGTTTAACCGTGTTTCATTTCATTTGTCCCATTTTTGCAGGAGAGACAGAACGAGAGAGAAAGCGCAGACGTTTTGCCACGGCCAGCCCTGCCCAACTGGGGGTCCTGCTGTGTCTACTTTTTGAGCATGACCCTGAGAGCTCCAGGTGAAGGCAGGACCTAGCTCTTGACCCGATATTTGATGGAGTGAATAAAAGAGATCCACTTTCAGGATTACTACTTTTCAAACTAAATATTCCTTCTGGCCCCGTAGTGTTCCCATCGTGGCCGCTGTCTTTAGGGGGTCAAAAGATGACACATGCATGATGACATCATTGTGAAAACACCACAGCTTCTGTCCTGTTGCAAGCATGGAATTGCACACTACAGTAGTGCCATGATGTCATTGTGCCTGCATCACCATTTTGGTGTAATTGGGATTTGCGGCAAACGCCTCTGCTTCCTATGGCATGGTGTCCAAAACAGATCTGGACCCTCTAAATCCTAAACCTCAATCCTTCAGCGTCCAGGGACAAAGTTTACCCAGCGATACGCAGATGCCTCTCTTGGTCAGCTCCCGGATCACTTCACTGCTGCGTTTCATCTCAGGTGCTAAGGTGACAATCCGGACACAGTCCAGGCTTCCGTACGTGGCAAGCAAATCTTGAAAGGCTCCCGACTCAAAAGTACGGAGGTAATCCTCTGGGTGAGCCCCCTTCTTCTCTTTGCTGATGAAAGGACCCTCCAGATGAATCCCTGCCGAAGGCGAGAGAAAGGCATTCAAAGCTCTGGAACAGGATGATGCAAGCTTGTATGGACCCCCGGACCACTGAAGATTATAATATGGGTGCAGGAGGCCTGTGACAAACTCCAACTGATTCCAGTAGAAGAGAAGATCTGTAGCTCAGGGTTGAACTGTGGAGTTCTTCGTGTTTTCTGAGCTTGGTGGTTGGTTTGCAGACATTTCATTACCCAGCTATGTAACGTCATCGGTGCAAGTGAGGGATGAACACCAGATAAACAATCAGGCAGAAAATAATACTCTATTCAAGGAACCACCAGAGAGGAAATCACTCCCCCACTAAAACTGGAAGGGCAAGCTATTAAATATAAACAGGCAGCAAGCCCACACTCATTTACACTGATGATGTTCCCTAATTGGGTAACGAAACGTCTGCAAGCAAACAACCAAGCTCAGAGAGCACCAAGAACACCACAAATTCCAACTGATTCACAGCAAAATCAGTCAAGCCATTAATCAGTCCAGAGTAATCTAAAGAGATAGATAAATTGGCTTCTCCTAATCCACGATTTCCCACTGATAATATAATCAAACTGGTCACCACGGCACCATCATCTCACCCTTAAAATGAATTTCCCCCTAGCCTCACCCCTGTGTGTGTAAAATAATAACAGCCCTCTACCATCTAACCTCCAAAATTTGCCTTGGGATTGTTTTTCTCTCAACTGTACAGCTGGCAGACAAACAAATGGGCCTGACTTTGCCATGCCCCTCTCAGATGGTTACTAAAAGAGCTCTGACCCTTAATTCCCATGGAATGGGATCACCAAATGGGTTGAGGCTACCATTTCTGCTGAAATATGGACAGCCCCTATTCTATTGGCCTTTTGCAAGGCTGTGAAGACCTGACCTTTCCCCCAGGCACTGGAGTGGAAATGTTAGTATGGAAGCTCTGGTTTGGGTGTGTGAGTAGGAGTTTGGTGTTTTTATTGAACCTTGATGCAGTTTTAGGTTGTTTTTTTTAATCAAATTCTGTTTTTATTTTGTTTACCTCCTAGAGTTTCTTGGATAGATGGGTGGCTATGTAAATTGGATCAAGCAACAAACAAACTTCCAGAATTTCAAGCTCTTAGCCATGATGGCCTGGAGCTCTTGAAGGTGTTGACTCTTCTGGAAGGCACCACATTAGGGAAAGCTGCAAAGGATCCTTATGTTTCTTACCCCATCAGAAGATATAACCATTAATGATTAATTACTCTTATTCACCTAGGACACCAGCTCCATGAGGCCCTCCATTTTGTACACGGATCTGAGGCAGAACCTAGTAGGAGAGGAGACATTGGGACCTTTGTTACTGAATCATACGTGTGGGTGTTTGGCTACAAAATGTAGTCTTGTTTCTTTGCTGAATTCACTTCTTCAGCAATATTGTACTATAAAACCAGATCAAAAAGAACACATGTGGGAGATGGAGCAGGTTCCTCCTAACCCCCTAAGAAAGAGAAGGGGAGGGGATGAAAGAAAAGCAGGAAAAGCTAAACCAATAATTAACCAGGATTAATCATGGTTGCTGATGCAACATAAAAAACAAAACAAGCTATATTGTGGTATAGGGTGTTGTATGAACCAAGTTTCATACTCAGCTTATTAAACCTAGATCTCTGGCTATTTTGGCAATCCTTCCATGCTCATTTCTACAACCCCAATCAGACAAGAAGAAACAGAAATCTATCAAGGTTCTGAGAGGTTACCGACACCCAGCTAAGGCAGGAAGATGATCAGGAATTGGACTTACATCACACTAAGCCATTGCTTGCTTGACCTGAATTTACTGGCTATTCCAAAATTAATTCTTTACTAGTTAGAGTTAAATCCCACCTTTTCTCCAGGTGATCGATGTGTTATACAAAGCACTTTCTCCTCTGTTTTTTTTCCTTCCAACTGGCTAATTTCACACAACAAACTAAGCCATAAACCCTGGTTGACAAACTACAGTGGTCAGGTTCGCACAATTCACCAAATCAACACAATCCATATTATAGCTTTGGATCTCCTCACCTTGTGATAGACTGAGGATGGTGAGGTCACCATAGTTGGGCAAAATGAAGTCACTCCGCTGGACAGTATCTTCTGGCCAACCAGTGAAATTCCTGCCTGCGGATCATCTGTAGCCAGGGAAAAGTCTACTCCGAAACCTCCTGAGAAAAGAGAGAAGACAGAAGAGGGAGTTGTCCTACCTTGTGATTTAGGTTGTCCAGTGGGCTACCTCTATGCAAAACATGTTATACACCTGGGTAATATATTCCACAGATGATGGGATTAATTTATCTTTGGCTTCCCAGTGGCAATCCATCTTTGGAAATGTAATTGTCCATTCCTTATCAATTCTGACTGAATATAGGTTATAGCATCATCCTCAGATGGCTTCCTTGTAGGTGTGTTGAACATTAGCCAAGCTGGCTAGGGCTGCTGGGAGCTGTAGACCATAAAAGTCCCCACTCTCTTTGTTTACAGTCAGATTTTGCAGCAAAGCTACGAAGACTCAGATTCTAGCATGGTCCGAGTGAGTAAAATGTGCAACCAGATATTTCTGCATCACTTGGATGACTGGGGCCCTTGGCGTTCTCCTAAGCAACAGCAGTTGCAATGCCTTACCATTGATTTGTACATCAATGAAGCCAGGTGCGATGATGCTGCCTTTGCAGTCCAGTTGGACATCTGCAGACTTTTTCTCATCAAAGAACACCTTCTCTGGGTTTAGGATCTTCCCAGCTCTTACCCATAGATCCTCTCTGAAAACAGAAGGAGCCAGTAATCCAACTCTTTGCTAGCTCTTAGATAAACGTTCCGCTTGATCTGTCCTTTGGCCAATTTATACAATTAACCAAAGGCAGTTCTCTGCTGGAATCTCATGTGTAATTTATTCTGCACTGAAGATGTTAACAACCAGAGACTGTTCTAAACAATGGCTTGGTTGTATCAAGTTTTATTTATTGTAAACAGGCGGTGAAAGAGAGGGGTAGTGGTGCACCTCCTTTTAAGGGAGCCTTCTCTTGACTTAGAGTTGTCTGATCTCCAAGTTTTCCTTTTGGGGAAAGTTCTGGAGAAGATGGATGGAGTTTACTGTTGTGAGGTGCCCAAACTCAATGATTGGGGTGGTATTCCAAAATGGTGAAAGATTTAATAAAGAAATGGAGTGACAAGTATCTGTTCCCTTCCACCTGGAGGACATTAACTTTAGCAGGACGTTCTTTGTGATAGCTATCTTACCAATTTCCAGTAGAAGTGAAACCCTTCCATGCAAGTGACTCATATCTAAACCATTAGAACAAGATGGAAGAATAGAAGAAAAGTCCTCACCTTTGCAGATCGTGATCCTTCAAAATGCAGCAGTTGGTAAACTGGAGGATTGGAGCATCCACAGTGGATTTACTGGATGGCATCATTCAAGCACACGTGTCAGGCAACTATAAGGAACAGCATGGAGATAACACGAAAGAAGCAATATTTAAGCTAGATTCATCTGTTATACAGCCTTGATTTATTTAGTCATGATTTACTGAATTAGAAGACAAACTGTTGAATGGGATAAAAGCAATATGGGAAACAACTATAAAAACCCCTTTGCATTTAACTTTATTGTTGGCATATAAAATCGCTGAAATCAATCTCATCCAGAATTAGGGGAAACTCAGTGTAAGTATTTTATCAGCCCTTTGAAGTAAGCAAAATCAGGAAACAGGCAACACAGGAAGAGATGGATTTTTACTTTATTGTTATAGGGTAAAATAACAGAATCTTGAAAATCTGACAAGGATTCTCTCCCCCTCCTCTTATATGAAGAACATCAAGGTGAAGCAATCTTAAGTTTCTTTCTCACTCTTCCCTCCCTTGCAAGCCTAAGCTGACTTTAATCTTCTTCAAGGCTATCTCCATCCTCCTCTATACAATCCCTGACACCACAGAAAGCTTACCATTATTTATTCTCATATAAACCCCATGTGCTTGGAGAAAATACATGTAAAGAAATACATATGATTAGATGTGGTGATCTTGTAAAGTTATTCAGTCTTTTGGGATTGAAATGGTTCTTAAAAGAACAGATCACAACCCAGGCCATTACATTAGATCAGTGTTTCTCAACCTTGGCAACTTGAAGATGTATGGACTTCAGATCCCAGAATTCCCCAGCCAGCAAGAAATCTGGGAGTTAAAGTCCAAACATCTTCAATTCTGGGAGTTAAAATCCACACATCTTCAAGCAAGGCTGGCTGGGGAATTCTAGGAGTTAAAGTCCACACATCTTCTGGGAGTTAAAGTCCACACATCTTCAAGCCCATCTTCAAGGTTGAGAAACAGTGTATTAGACCCTGTTGACCTTACTAAGGTTTTTTGGCTAAACCAAAAAACACCTTGAAACATGAAGAGTTTATAGTTTTCTTATTGGTTGTAACAAGATCCTGGAAAGCAGGAAAGGATCTGAACGTTTCCATGTGCTGGCAAATGTGTGGAAAAATGCTTTACACTAGTGGAAAAGATGACCCCCCCCCTCCCCACAAGGATGGCATAACCGGACAATACAGATTTTTATTTCCCTGGTCTAAACTTATTAATTATCCACAACCAAGGGATTTTGATTGTCTACTACGCAGTTGGGTCCTAGGTAATCTAATTCAATAAGGTTATGTGTATTTTGCTTCTATATATACCCCACTGTTGTGTTAATTAATACATTTAAATAAAGGAAACAAAGTCATGGTTTAGTACAGTGTTTCTTAATCCTGGGCACTTTAAGATGCGTGGACTTCAACTCCCAGAATTCCCC